TGTAAGCCGCCCAGAGACCTTCGGGTAGTGTGGGCGGCATATAAGTTAAAATAAATAAATAAATAAATAAATAAATAAATAAATAAATAAATAAATAAATATTTGTATCAGCTGTTGAAAGTTAGATTTTTTGCATCTTTCCATTAACCAGCTATTTCTTTTCACACCTCTACCAGTGGGAATATAATGAAGTAGCTTTGCCTTGTCACCAGCAAAGAAATCTGGTAATGCAAAGTATAAATGGAGATAAGTTTTATTAGCAACATGTCCAATTACATTGTATATGAGAGCCTAGAATTTAGCTATCTATATCTGGGCAAGAAATAGCTATGGGAGAAAGACTGCAAATTGTATCCTTGATGAGTGGTATAATGATAATTGTGGTGCCTTTGTCTTTGCTATATTATAATTGGATTTTAATGTATATTGTGTATACAATTTTGTCTATTAAAAAAATAGTGTTCCATTTAGATGGATTATAAATATATTAGTAAAATATTTCCTGAATGTGGGTGGATTTTTAAAACTAGAGAGTTAAGATGTTTGAAATTGGCTTTATCATTATAGTGAGAAGTTACTGAGTAGGTTCTAGATTTAGACAAATGCAACTGGATTGGCAGGAGTGGATTTCCTTGCGCTCTTCTTATAGCTCCTACAGCCTTCTAAAAATGCTACACTGACAGGGTAGCCTGCTGAAAGGAAGTGAAGTGGGATGGAAGAATTTTGAAGCTCTGACTTCCACAGGTCGATCCCTGTGCTTGATGGTAGCTGTGTCTTGGAGCCATATTGGCTGAAATCAGTCAGTTGCAACTGGAGTAGACCCACTGAATCAGCAAGGATTTGGTGAGTCAGCTCCTCCATAAGTGCCAATGATTTGAATGGGCTTACTTTAGTTACAACTTACTGTGCTAAGGTAAGTTGCAACTAGAGTAGATCCATTTGAATCAGTGAAATTTGGGGAGGAATTGACTTGCCATATCTCTTCTGATTCAGATGGGGGCTTACTCTAGTGTGATTTACTGTGTTAAGCAACATGATTTCAGTGACTACGGAAGAACAATCAGTTAGAAAGCAGATTCTGTTAAAAACTGGAATTAACTCTAAAAAAATACATTCAGGCTGGGACTGACAGTCTTTGATACAGCTTATCTAGAACCTTACAATGAGCGTGAAATACGTATATTATATATTTATAACATGTTTTTTATATCTGACATATATATATTTTTTTCAGAATAATGTAGATAAACTACTATTTGACCTTTTCATGTTTCATATCATTTTTGAGAACCCAAAAATCAATCTGTGTTGAAAATGTATCTTAACAGGACTATCTTCTCTTAAACAGCAAACGTCAAGTCAGATGCACGCAGATTCTTTGTCTCCATCTCCTAATGCTGTGTCGCCAGTGCCTTTAAATAACCCCACAAGTGCTCCAAGATTTGGAACAGTCATTCCTAATCGTATCTTTGTTGGAGGAATTGATTTTAAGGTACTTTTTTTCCTAAGCTTGGTAGCTGAATAATTAAGTTTGAAAAATCTCAGCTATTGTAATCCTGTTATTTTAATCTTGTTGTGCATATTTAATAATTTTATAAGAGATGATTGTTTATAAAATAGGGGGTTTGTACAGTAGTTATCTCCTGCCAGAAAAACAGGAACCATCAGCAGGGGGTATTTTCCGCTACATCCCCAAATTTACTTTGGAGAGTGGGAAACGATGAAGATCAGATTTGCAAGGGGGGAAAAGAGGAATAGGAATTCTGCTGTACAAATATGTGTCTGTTTGCACGGTATTAGACTTATGTCTAATTGTGTATAGTTCCCAGAAGGAGGGATAGTATAATTAATTATAAAAGAATAAGTAAATATGGTATATCTGGAATTAATGTACCATGGTATTTAACAGAGAAGAAAAAGACCAAGGATATAAGGATGAGTCAATAGACTGTACCTAGTGAAATTATTTATAAGCCTAAGATGAGCCAGGAATCGTTAAAATGATTCTTAGTTTCTTTTCTAGGTATAGCATGGTACTAATATGATTTATATTCCCATCTGTGTATTTTGTGGCATGCTGTCTGTAGACCATGCTGGCTTTGTAATAGTAGTAGTTATAGTATGCAGTCTTATTTTTGAATATATGTACAGCTTTTCCAGATATGAATCTAAAGCAGTTCACAACAAACATATTTCTATCAAAATAGTGTAGGTGACAAGGAAACCGGCTGTTAACCCTCCTGTCATCAGCTATATTTGTGGGTCTGTCAAAGAAATTTCAGGTTCAGAAGCTGAAAGCATGTGATGCACTTGTTACATAGTCCCCCTCTCTCTGCCTAAATATGAAGAGCAGAACTTCCAATTTGGCCATAGCAGACCGTGATTCTGGGTGATGCTTTAATATCCAGCTTGGTATTGAGTATTTGCCAGACAGAATGGTTGATCCTAGGAGTTACATGAGCTGTATGGAGAAAACAGATTAGATTGTGCATGCCAGATGAGAACAATTTCATGGTAACTTTTAAAACAACTCTATGACTTCAGTCCATATACTGTACTGCGTCAGTCTCACTCAAGGACATGGCAGATTACTTGTCACTAGTAGGGGCACCCCTGTAGTGCTGATGGACTATGCTTGACATTGCAGGACTTCTTTTCACTTTAGCTACCTTCACAGTAAGTGTGCTTTGTTCTGTGACTGGCCTTCAGGCTCTAAGCACATTATTTTCATAAATGTGACACCTCAGACATGAAGGACTTTCATTAGTCACCTCTCTTGAAACCTTATGTAGTTTTGCTCTAGTGATGGGATGTCTGTAATGTAGATGCTATTTTTGCCCTTAATGGTTCGTGCTTGTCGGTACAACTATGAGAGATTCCAACTTATGTGTAGAAACCTGCTATGAAATTACTAAAAATGAGCTAAGAATGATAACTGAATATTTAATAATACAGCTATGATTCGTTTGGTGAAAAGTTTTCAGAGAAGTTACAGTACATAAGACAGTACCATAATTTCAGAAATAAAACTTAATGATTTTAATCCAGATATGATTTTCATTCCAGAGAAGGATTTCTGCTCGCTAATATTAGAGGAAGGATCACAGTTTTTGCCATTTCCGCCTTCCTCTTTAGTCCTTGAAATTCTGCTCCAGATGTATAAAGGGCTCTCCGGTGGGGTTGAGCAGGGGAGAGGCTGCAGAGGAATGGCGGGGAGGTAATTGATGGAAGCTGCCTCTGCTCTTATAAGATATATCTGTTAGATCAGAATATATTCTGTGAATGGAAAAAATGTGAAAGTTTTTAAGTGAAGGAAAATTTGCATTAACATTTTATATTTAAATATATTTACTACCATGATATAATTATGTAATAATTGTCCTTCTTTATTTTGCTAGACTAATGAGAATGATCTACGAAAGTTTTTTTCCCAGTATGGCTGTGTAAAAGAAGTAAAAATAGTAAATGACAGAGCTGGAGTATCAAAGGGGTTAGTAAAATAAAGCATGTGACGAGTGGAATGCATAATAGTTACTGGAATATGTATGGAAGATTTTTGTGGATAAATAATTTTAGTCACTTGAAGTAATAATCCTATAAATGCATATGTCTTAGTAGCAGACATGTTTCATTGTCTGAACTTCTGTTGCTTTGTGTAGTAAATTGTATGGGAGAAGGCCTGTAGGATTTGATGACCACCCCGATTCAGTGGGCCTGTTGTGCTCTAAACAACAGGATGTCAGCCACTGAATGCAGATTGAATCTGTTTCCCCGAAAATAAGACCTAACCTGAAAATAAGCCCTAATATAATCCCTACCCCAAAAATAAGACCCAGTTAAGTGAAACCCCTCCTTCCACCATTGTGCAGCAACCAGAAGAAGATGACATGACTGTATTTGAATAAATGTAGATTCTTGTACATGAAAAAAATAAAACATCCCCTGAAAATAAGCCCTAATGCGTTTTGGAGCAAAAATTAATATAAGACCCTGTCTTATTTTCGGGGAAACATGGTGCTTCTGACTAGGAACATCTTGCTGAGTAGATATCTACTGGATTACATTTACTTAGTTATCAGCAGTCTTTTGCTGGAGAAATTTTAAGATACACATGTAAAATGTAATTTTAACTTACTTAGTTGGTCCGTTAAATATTCCATGTACTGTATTTTGAACTCTTACGTAATTTCTTTTTGAACATCTTCTATTACCCCTTTGAAAATGAATTCTTAATTTCTCACACCTTACAGCCCTACCAGTACATTTTAATGCTTACTGGTTTTTTAATTGTTTGTTTGCTTAATTTATACCTACTCTTTCCCCAGCAGATGGACGAACGGCAGCTTACAACACATTTAACATTAAAACTATGTATGAAAACAAAAACATATAATATTAAAAAAGTATACATCTTAATCATTAAAAATAATAAACCCATTTAAAATAGTTAAAAACATGTATGAAAGATAAAATATTGAAGTCCTTGTTGTTGTTGTTGTTGTTTAGTCGTTAAGTTGTGTCCGACTATTCATGACGCCATGAATCAGAGCACGCCAGGGCCTCCTGTCTTCCACTGCCTCCCAGAGTTTGGTCAAATTCATGTTGGTAGCTTCGATGACATTGTCCAGCCATCTTGTCCTCTGTCATCCCCTTCTCCTCTTGCTTTCACACTTTCCCAACATCAGGGTCTTTTCCAGGGAGTCTTGTCTTCTCATGAGATGGCCAAAGTATTGGAGCCTCAGCTTCAGGATCTATCCTTCCAGTGAGCACTCAGGGTTGATTTTCTTCAAAATGGATAAGCTTGTTCTCTTTGCAATCCAGGGAGACTCTCAAGAGTCCTCCAGCACCACAATTCAAAAGCATCAATTATTTTACGGTCAGCCTTCTTTATGGTTTAGCTCTCCCATACATCACTACAGGAAAAACCATACCTTTGACTATGCGGACCTTTGTCGGCACGGTGATGTCTCTGCTTTTTAAGATGCTGTCTAGGTTTGTCATCGCTTTTCCTCCCAAGAAGCAGGCATCTTTTAATTTCATGGCTGCTATCACCATCTGCGATTATGGAGCCCAAGAAAGTAAAATCTCTCACTGCCTCCATATCTTCCCCTTCTATTTGCCAGGAGGTGATGGGACCAGTGGCCATGATCTTAGTTTTTTGAATGTTGAGTTTCAGGCCATTTTTGTCTGGAAAAAAACCTCTTTCACCCTCATTAAGAGGTTCTTTAATTCCCCCTTACGTTCTGCCATCAGAGTCGTATCATCTGCATATCTGAGGTTGTTGATATTTCTTCCCTCTATTTTCCGCCTTGGGATTCCTCCAGTCCGGCCTTTCGCATGATGTATTCTGCATCTAAGTTAAATAAGCAGGGAGACAATATATTTTGATTGCTACAAAGCCCATGGTCTTGCTTAATACTGTTGTTTGAACTGTCGGGGGGGGGGTGGCTAGAAGAACAGGTGGTTCTGCCCCCATCTCTGCACCACCCATTCAGTCTGTACCTTAACATCTGTCTATCTTTGTGGGAAGATCTTTAAGCAAGGATGTAGAGAGATGTCTTTTTCTCGCTCCCTCACAGTTCAGCACTATGTCGCTTGGTGGCAAGCAGATAGTACTTAGTGTGGTACTCCATGTGCTCTTCTGGCTGGCAGGCAGGCAAGCAAGCAAGGACGTAGGCAAGAATAGCAGGCAAGCAAGAGAGCTGTTTTGTGTTTATGGTGTTATGGTGAGCAGCGGTGGCAGCAGTAACTCCATGAGAACACTTTTGATGGTGGAGAGCTGCTGTTCAGGTATGTGTGCACAGTGAGTGTTACTCTTCTAGCCAACTTTTGTCTGAACTAGAGGATTAATCCGGGGGAACTTTTGTGGTTTCCTTCAGGATGACTCTGAAGCCATAAAGCCAACAGGTGTTGGATGGGGAATCAAATGGCAAAGCAGTCTTCCAATTTATATTCTAAATGTGTGTGAGAGAAGGACAATTGCAGACTGTAGAAAGGCCAGCTGAGTCTCAATATCTTTGGCCTGGGGCCCCTGCCTCCTTACAAACTGAGTATCCTGTACAGTGGTGCCTCACATAGCGATTGCTTCATATTGCAATTGCTTTTGCAATCGCTTTCCGATGTTACCTATGGGGGAATTTTGCTTTGCGATGATCGATTCCCTGCTTGGGGAACCGATCATGGCAAAGCAATGCTTTTTAAACAGCTGATCGGTGCAGCAAGCAAGGCTTTTTAAACAGCTGATCAGCGTCGCACTACCCCCCTCAGAGCTCCTGCATAAATAGGGGACAGCTGCAATTGCTTTTGCAATCGCTTTCCGATGTTACCTATGGGGGAATTTTGCTTTGCGATGATCGATTCCCTGCTTGGGGAACCGATCATGGCAAAGCAATGCTTTTTAAACAGCTGATCGGTGCAGCAAGCAAGGCTTTTTAAACAGCTGATCAGCGTCGCACTACCCCCCTCAGAGCTCCTGCATAAATAGGGGACAGCAGGAGGGAGAGCGGGGGTGCTCCGGATTGGCACCTCAGGAGGAGGGAGGGAAGGAGGAGCAAAGGGCTTGGCCCCGATCGCCGCGCGCACCCTTGGGGCGCAGAGCCAGAGAGCAGTCGCAGCGGGAGGCGCTGCAAAGGAGGAGGCTCCTGCCGGGGACCGGGATCAGGGCAGCAGCGTCTGGATGGGGGGACGCGCCAGAGACCCCCTCCTTGCCCTGTCTGCGCCCCGCCAAGGAGACCGGGTGTCTGGGGTTGGCTGGCTGGCGGTGGGTGGCGTGTCCCTTGCTGCCCCGGGCAGCTGCCTGCCTCCGAGCCCGCCGCTCGCTGCCCAAGGAGGCCGGGTGTCTCCCGGGCTGGCTGGCGAGCGGCAGGTGGATGGTGCGCCCCTTCCCGGCCCGGGCGGCTGCCTGCCTCCGAGCCCGCCGCTCGCTGCCCAAGGAGGCCGGGTGTCTCCCGGGCTGGTTGGATGGCGCGCCCCCTTCCCGCCCTGGGCGGGTGACTGCCTCCGAGCCCACCGCTCACCGTCCAAGGAGGCTGGGTGTCTCCCTGGCTGGGTGGTTGGCTGGGGAGCGGCAGGTGGGTGGCGCACTCCTTCCCGCCCCGGGCGGCTGCCTCTGAGCCCTTGCTCGCCCCACTCCTCACCTAGGGGGAGACAGGAGAGGATGCAGAGGCTATATAGGGTTATTTTAACTTGTAGTGTGGTTTCCTTATATGCAGAATCCCCTTCATTTATTGCTGCCTTGTCATGGAGAATGGGCTTGAGTAACTCAGAGAAGCTATGGGCTATGCCATGCAGGGACACCCAAGACGGACAGGACATAGTGGAGAGTTCTAACTAAACGCAATCCACCTGGAGTAGGAAATGGCAATGACCCTCCAGTATCTTTGCCAAGAACGCCCCATGATCAGAAACAAAAGGCTAAAAGGTATGACGCTGGAAGATGGGCCCCTCAGGTCGAAAGGCGTCCAACATGCTACTGAGGAAGAGCGGAGGACAAGGACAGGTAGCTCCAGAGCTAATGAAATGGTTGGGCCAAAGCCGAAAGGACGCTCAGCTGTGGACCTGCCCGGAAGTGGAAGGAAAGTCTAATGCTGCAAAGAAAAATACTGCATAGGAACCTGGAATGTAAGATCTATGAACCT